TAAATGGGGTACCGAAAAGTGAAGGAAAAGTGAGGAAGAAAGAATAGCCTTCTGAAATTTTGATCCGGTTTTTATACATTGTGTTCTTTATATTCCCCGTATTTTATAACAAGAAGTAAATAGTTATAGGATCATTTGTGTTTTTACACATTTGTTGTAAAAGTGCATATCCAATAAAAAAATATGTCTATCTAACAGTAGCCTTATTTTTTTTAATTCAAACCATATACAATTCTTTTTTTTTTTTAATTTTTTTTTATTTTGTTTTATTCTTAAAAACATGCATGTAAAGGAAAAGGATAAATAAATAAAGGAAGAAATCACTCCTTCTAAGCATTCAAAAGTTTTGAATTCTACTGCTTTGCAGTAATTAACAGCATTGCAATAATTTTTCGAAATGAATATCTATTTTACATCTGAGCCTTTTTTTTTTTTTTTTTCAATCGTCATCTGGAGACCGAAGCATGTAAGAAGCCTCTGCACGAGCCTCGTCTAGCTTATCCAGAAGCTCCATCACGAACCGAGTTTTTGTTCCATGAGTGAGTCTCAGTACATCTAAAGCTTTCGTAAACGACATAACTGCTTTTTCGGTCTCCCCCAACAACCTGTAAAAATTAAAACTAATACCATATTAAATTCTGCTAATTATTCCTCTAAGAAAACCAAATAAATTGGCAGGATGTGAACTACAAAATTGAAAAAATACCCATGTCAAATGAATTGGTGCTTCATAAAATGTCACACAAGTTAAGACAAATGAGAAATTAAGTCTTGAATTCCTAAATCACCAAACTTTTTGGGGAAAAAAAATTTGGACATAAAATGTCGATTTAATTTGGGACCGGGAGTAATATATATAATTCTCATACCATTCGAGCTTTCCAGACATATAATACTGCAGCCCGATCAACGGGTGGCAGCTCGGGTACACCCCTGTATGAAATAAGATGTACAAAAAGATGAGCAAGAAAGAAGATAAACAAAAAGTAATGATTTAAGTGATAGGAACTAAAGATGTCTTTTGTTATACATACACTCATAAACCGGGATTATCAATCTGGAATAAGAAAGTGCTTCTTTCCAATCCTGCAGCTCCATCGATATCTAAGATGAACATTCAAACAAGAAACTGAGAATTTGCATGCTCAAGAAAGGATTATATATTTCAGATAATAACTTGAGGTTTAATTGAAGTGTATATGATTTAAAAACTATATTAAAAATGGGACTTTGAATGTTTGAAAATAAAAAGGATGAAATAAAAAAAATAAAAAAGTAAAAATCGGACCATATTTATCATAGAGAAAGGAATGGAAAATTCAATGTACGGTTCATAATTATCGAAAATTTATGATTCAGAAGGTGATGCATGTCAAAAAGATATCACAAAAGGTGAATCTCAATACTCAAAAGCATATACCTTTAGAAGAGACTCTCTCGTCCGCATAATATTGATCGAAAATGGGTGGCACAGCGTCAGTTGAAGCTGCTCGATCATCTTATAAGCCTCAACTGCCTCAGCTTTATCTGAACTTTTTTCAAGGAGTAATAACTTTTCAGCACACATGTATTATAACCGCATTTAGAGAAAAATGTTATAAAAAAAATGAATTATTCTATAAACAGAAAAAAAAAGGATACGGCCAGGGGAAAGTGACTGGGATGCTCTTTCCGAAATACGTTTAACTTCATTGGTGATGTTACTAATTTCCTCTTTGCTCCTAAGAAGTCCACACTTTTGGCAGATGAACCCTTTATCATCTAAAATCAAGTACGAAAGAGAAAATTTTTAAATTTGAACAAAAAAAAGAAAAAGTTGATCAAATAACTTAAAGGTTCAATTTTTTCTCGATTAGCCAATGAAGTACCAGGGTCACGGAGTAGAAATCCACTACATTGGTCAGCCTTGCATCTATAACCTTCTAGAATCGCACTTTCTCGAATGTCATCTGGTTGACCCTTCAAACACAACACTTACAAAGTTCAGAAAAA